TAATATTTGGTTTATAATAATAGACGAACTGACACAGATCATGACAGTTAACGATTTCTTCTCTGACGGATTAATTTTCTCTTCATCTCAGACCATAAATATTTTTTACCTATTCGGATTATTACCATTATTATCAATAGGATTGTTCATTGAATGAAAAAACCTAATTATATCTGGTAAGTTAAATTTTTATGTTATATTACTATGCTTATATACATAAATATATACATATAGAGTGTTGGTGATGGGCTTAACATGTATATCTGTAGCGAATTATAGAGATTAATCATCCTATCTCTAATATAATATAAAAACGTTAATAGTTCGATCAAATCTCTAAAACTTGGTTGGTATTCAATCTCATTCACTGAACTAGCAAATTCGTCTCCGATACCTTACTTATCCGTCCTCACCCCATAGGACTGTAGTTTGAAGTTAAGATTAATTGATGAATAGAATTTATTTATAAAGTAATCCTATGGTTGGTGAGTAGCAGTGAAATCCAGAAGGCTTATTTCGTCCCATTTCAGGACTCATCATTTTTGGATGTACTTCCATACCCTACCCTAACAAATTACTCTTCACATTAATTCTCAGACATCATCGAAGCGGACTTTTTATCAGTTGGGATGTTAACAGAGGTCGAACGTTTCGATTCAAAACAAGTGTTCGTCGATATCGACTTAGTGTGTTTTTTTTTGTTGTTGCCAGGATCACCTATCATAAAGTGATTTCAAGAAGTAATCAAGAATATACTCACTTTTTCTTTTTACTTCAGTAATAGCGTGAAACAACATCTATGGAGGCGAATTGTAGAAGAATTAAGTATCAGAGAGACTTGTTAAACATGCCTATTACGTAATCACACCATACTTATCGTTCTGTGTAAATCATTGAAAATATATAATTATACTTTAATTGATCTATTATTCTACAATGCTCTACAACTTTTTACTGACATTAATCCATACCATTTAATTAAGCATTATTTTACAATATTGTCCTTGCTCAAAACTTAACAGCTGTACTGCCTCATAAAGCTCGTGTATCTACACCGAAGCATAGCGTGTCTCGGCTATATGTATATTATATTTAATATTCGACATATATCAATCGATATAACTTACCTACATGACATCTCTCTGCAAATCATACTTGTTAACATATCTATAAATAAATCTATCTATCGGGCTGATGATGTCATATATAGAATTTCGACTGACTTGTAGCTTTTTCCTCTGTATATAATAACTCTCGGCAAAAAGAAATCAAATATGAAATACTATAAATGCTCAAAATTTTCTATTATCGATTAATACCTGGTGTTGTTAGTTGTTAGGCGTTTAATTCAAACTGTATGTATATTCTTATGTATGAAAAATCATAAAATAAATATGTTTTGTTAGTTAAGAGTTAAAACACAGTCTTCTTTACTGAAACTTGATACATCGAAGTTAAACTATAGCAGCAGCCAACGCGATCGATTTAACCATCATCACTACTCTGATGATTTGATGATTTAGAGATTGTTCTGAGATCCGTTTTGATTGATATATCCTTTGATTCTGATATAATTTAATCTAAATTAAAATTCCGGTCAAGCTTCTCTCGCGTAGGCCAGTCTAAGTCACTCCAGGTAATCAAAACATTAGTCAAATACTTGATTCGTCCTTAGACAGAGGGTATTATTCGATTTAGTAACACTAATTTAATTAATTGGTTGTCGAGGTGGTTGCTATAGTTTAACTTCATCCCCCTCTTCCTTTCTTTACTTTGTGAAACAATCAATCAATCGATCAATAGATTATGTGAAGCAGTTAGACTTGTACTAACGATGATTAGGCATTGTTACCACGTGTGTTCTACCTTTTTTTATTCTTAAATGTATACAAAAATCAATGTAGAATTTAGCAACGGAGTTACATCTAGTCATATCACTATACCTCGAAATAGAATATTTTTTTTCATCCCAAAAAGACGAGGAATTAGATGATACTGTGAGAAATAATTTAATCTTATTTATATGAAAAATTTGCATACTACTTATTTCGTCACCTTATACCTAATTTGTTACTCTATGTAAAAAAAATAACAATTAATCGAGAGAAAGTGGATATTTCAGTACTTCGAATATGTTAAAATTAAAGAAAGATTTTCAGAGCTAATATCATTGAAATTCTGTTGTCATTCCAATCTAATCCTTTCTTTATCCAAACACTGTTTATTGAGAAAGGTAGCAACTTGACATGTGTAATATAGCATAGTTTCAATGTTGCTTTCTCTTGTGGGATTCTACCTCAAGGAAGCGAAATAGAATGGAAAAGAACCTACGATTATTGTTGAAATAATAACAAACAATGTAACAACTGATCACGGAATGACGTCATTTAGAAAACTACTGCAGACTAGGGATACTCGACAGCTGTTTCGTTCCACACCTTAAAACTCTCCAGAACTTTCAAGCTTGCCAACGAGATCCAGCTTGTTGACAATTCATCCACTTCAGGATGGATATTCAATTGCCTATTAATTCTAACCTCTACCATTTCGTAATATAGAGTGACCGCCAGACAGTATTCTTACATCCGCCCAACCTAGTGCACCCCATTAATCAATCAATCAAAACTTCTCACTAGAACACATCAGGCATATAGATTAGCTTTGTGTCAAATTTGATCATAGATTGACGTTGAAAAACCATCAGGGACTACTACTACTACTACTGGAGAGCTTATATATCGTCCTTGTATTCTTGAGAATCTATGAACCTACCTAGAAACTTTTTAGTATTATTATTAAGGTTGTAATCGATATGAATCTTAATATATATTTCACATACTATATTACTTTCAATGATGTGACCACTCATCATCATCTCTAGTAAGTGTATTATAAGTAGTCGCGTGAATAATAATAATAAGAATAATAGTAATAGTAATAGTTAAGACAACCTTTCTTATTTCCTCTTTCTTACTTTAATCATTTCTCTTAAAAATCAGTCAAATCTCTCTCATTTATTTATTATTTTCTCTCTTTCTTTAGTGGATTTTATTGTGTTTTTTTCTTTCTTCTGCTTAATCTATCTATGGTATGCACTAATCACCCTGTGAGATCAGTCATTGAACTCACAATTTTCACTTTAGTTACACACACACACACACACCACACCACACAACGATTAACGCATGCCCATCTCATGATTCGAAAAGATCATATGAACCCCGCATTTTAAGTATTGGATAGTAGATAGTTTAGTTTAAGTTTAACTATTATAGTTTTACACACAAACGAAATAAAGTGTTGTTATGCACTTTTGATCTCTAGTTCTCTCACTCACCCACACACACTCTCTCTCCCTGTATGTCTTAAACCACATTTTCTTTTCCTTTTATTTTCATATTAATAATCATAATCATAATAGTAATAATCTACTTTATTCCAAAAACAGTACTTATAATACAGAATGGAATTCTCAGCATTTGTCACAGTATTGCATCTGATTTACTCAAAATATAAATAAAATTAAAACAAAATTAACCAGAGGAATTTCTCCACTTTTACGGGATAAAGTCAAGAATATGCGATTTGTTTCAAACAGTATTGTCGATTCTGTTAGGAAATTTTAGCATTTAATAGATTATTGAATCTAATGTTCTGCTGATATAGTATATTGAGGGGAAAGGCGAAATTAACAGTCATAACACAACTTAAATGATGTTCACACTTATGAAAAAATAAACAAATAAAAACAAAAAATTGAGAGGATTATAAATATAAGAAGTACAATAACAATAAAGCTTTGTGGAATAAGGATGGAGAAATAAATGGTTTATTTACTAGTGCAAAGAAAAGTTAGTTCATGCCTGACACTATTTTCATCGCATAAAATACGTGCCGCCAAATATGGTATAGTGGAATTTTTATACTTAGACGTACGTGAATAAAGTCTTCTGAAAAGACTTTTTTGTTTTACCTGAGGAGGAGACACAAGGTTGGAGATGCGGGTGCTGCGGTGGATGCTCATAGTCTGACAAAATTCCTTTAGCAAATTTGTTGCATGACATCAAGTGCCTATCAGTGATAATGTCAACGATATGGCCCAATGGGATACCACACTCGCCCTACTGACAGCTAGTCTTCAGAGTTCTACGAAGTATGACATAGTCGTTTTTAAGCAATCCAGGAAAGAATAAGGGTAAGATGCACGAGTTGACAAACTGTAAGAGGAGGAGGGGTTGAGTTATGCCTGAGTGCCTTAACTTAATGTAAAAAGTCAGACGAAATATTCTTTTAGAAATCGTTAAGACATGTGAAGACCAGGATAGGTCAGAAGAAAGAATTAGTCCAGGATATTTAACATCAGACTTGATTTCTAAATTCACTATCATCAATTTTACAACAGTCATAGGAACTAACAGCTTCATTTAACTTTCTTTTACATCAGAAACTGAAATTAACAGTCTGGCATTTGGAAGGATTTTTGTTAACTATAATGTTTATCATGATTAACTTCCAGGTTGGTTGTTTATGCGTTGAATATCATTTTTTGTTGCTTTAAAAAAAAATAATAGTTTGACGTAAAAATAACCGAATCAATCTGTTTTCTCTTTTTTCTTCTCTTAATATAGGAGATCATCAGTATCTGTGTTGTTCTGTTCTCTACATATATATACACACACACACAAACTCAGAAATTAACGGACTATTGATTATAAATCAAAAGTGAACTTAATATTCATCCTCCTATTGTCTTAGTGGGATTATTCAACACTACTCATTGAGTACAATATCTATCCTTGAGTATCTTGACGTATTCTTTGTGATCATATGTGTGTGTGTATGAGTGAGTGAGTGGACAATACCATTGATTTTATCAATCACAGAAATTAGTGATTGTTATCAAAACAAAAACAAAAAAATCAGAAATATTTCATCAATTTCTCTAGTGTATTTTGAAATTATCTGAAACTGGCGCTGTTTAAAGGTGGTATATTTGTGCTATGTATTTACATCCTTCATCGAATACACTTACCTCTGTGACTACTACGAGTACTACTCCACCTCCTCCTTCTGGTACATCTTCCATCATTGCGTCTACTACTACTCCCCCTCCTTCTAATACTATTGTAAGCGTGAATCATATAACTTCATTGAAATCGGATGTAGTGAATACAATGAGTAATCCAGGATGTTGTTTATCATCTAGTAATAATAGTATGATGCAACCACCGCCGCCCCCGCCACCACCACCTGCAATGATACCAAATCATGGATTAACTAGTTTATTATCAAATGTTGCATCAAATATCTCTGCACATCAACAGCAGCAACAACAACAACACCATCAGCAACAGCAACAATCTCAAAATACCTTTTTAAAACCACCTTTAATTCCTACTGGTCGTACATCAAATGCTCAATTGTTACAATTATTAAGAAATGTAGCCTCTTCCTCCTCTTCCTCTTCTTCTTCTTCTTTACCATCATCTTTGAATCCTTCAACCTCTCCACGGAATAGTTCACCTGTTGTCTTAAATGATTCTTCAATCCAACAACAACAACAACAGCAGCAGCAAATGTCAACATCAGTTACACTGTCATCTACGGATTATTTATCTTCTTCTTCTAATAATACTAATAATAATGATCAAACACTTTCTTCAAATCCATCACCAAATCGATTGTCTTCAAATGCAGCTACACCAACAACTGTTGCTAATACTAATACTACTATGCCTAACAACACTACTATGAATGGACTTAATCTACTACCAGATTTTGAAGCATTACTGACCAATTCTAATCCTAATATGAATGATTTCATTTATTGTTTAATTCAATCAATTCTACTTAATCATGCTGTAAGTTTACAATGCTTTTATGCTTTGTTGTTTCGCTTTGTCTTGCTTTGTTTTTCATTTTGGCCAATTTACCATTTTTAAAAGTGATATATATAAAAATATTCCATATATATTATCCTATAGTTGGTTTGTAAGGATTAGTTTGGTTTTTTTACGAGTTGATCACGGATTGATATCAGTTAGAGAACCATTGAAAACCAGCACAGGAGTACTGGACAACTGTTTCATCCTAGTGCTTGGGAATCATCGGCATTACGTACACACCGCCAGCGTCCAAAGCCAGGATCGTCCGGTTACAAGGCAAGCTGGTAGACCATTCAGACACTGGGATCCGATTTAAGGCTTAATTTGTTGTGGATAGTTAATTTATTGGTATATTCAACGAAGATACATATATATGTTAATGAATACGATGTTCAATGGTTTTCAATGGTTCTCTAACTGATATCAATCCGTGGTCAAACTCGTAAAAAAAACAAATCTAATCCTTACAAACCAACTGTTGAAAATTAATCTGATGCTGCTCGCTAGTGACTTGCTACAGGACGGAGTTTCCTGGAGTTCTAATGAGAAGTTGTGACCAGTGAGGTGGATCCTGTCAAGTGTGAGGAAGGGTTTCCCACTGATGATATTGGTTGGTGCGAATTGGTAGAAGTTAGAATTCATGGACTGGCCATTGAATTGGGTGGGGTCCCAGTAGCTGAATGGTATACGAGCCAGCTTGCCTTGTAACCAGAAGGTCCTGGGCTCGAACCCTAGCAGTGAATGCGTACTGCCGATGATTCCCAAGCACTAGGAGGAAACAGTTGTCCAGTACTCCTGTGCTGGTTTTCAATGGTTCTCTAACTGATATCAATCCGTGATCAACTCGTAAAATTCAATATATTAATTAATATTCAGTGATCTGAGGTGATTACCTAAGTATTTCAGCGGTAGAATACTCGCCAGGCATACACACACGCACGTGATACGGGTTCCATTCCCAGCCGACACACTCTTAAACTTCATTTTCACAGTTAATCGGAAAAAGAGAGTGAAGGTTACTCATAAATCTAGCAACCTCCACTATAGCTACTGAAACTTCCAACTTCAAGCTTAAAGCTCTATGTCCCACTCAGGATGCAAAGAAGAAAACAAAACTTAGTCTAGTGCTTATTAGTGACTGACAACTACAGGATAAATACTCGTTGATGACGTTGGCTGGCAGTCACGCTATATACACATATCGCGAACTAGCAGAAGTTAAAATTGATGGGCTATTGGATCCTGTCCCAATAACCTGAAGGTCCTAGGTTCAATCCCTAGCAGTAGAGTGATGAGTGCATACTTCTAAAGAATCCCAAGATGTCTAGAACGAAACAGCTGTCCAATATTCTCGTTTGTTTTTCAATGATTCTCTAACTGAAATCATTTAGGTGATCAATCTTTCATAAAAGAGAATTGTATATTGATTATTGTCCTAACGATTACGATTATAATCACGAGTCACTTTCTTTTTCTCTCTATCATTTGACTTATATTCTAAAGGTATATTTTTTTATTGCATATAGTAAAGTTTTTGGCTTAGTTATTCGATTTTCAATTAGTAAGGTATTAATTAGGTGAGACAATACTGTTTCTCTGTTCACTTTTTGAACAGGTAGTCACCATTTTGCTTACGCTGTAGCGGTGGTGCGTCGGTGGCACAGCGGTTAGGACGCTCGCCGACCATGCACATGGTCCGGGGTTCGATCCCCGGCCACTGCGGCACTCCTTTACCTCACTAAGCCAGTTATAAAGCTGGTAAAGAGGGAAGGTTGGGCATGAAGCTAGTAACTCCATCCTGTAAAAATAATCACCACTGCTACAGAAACTTCAAGCCTCTAGCTTGAAGCCCTATGTTCCACTGGGAACGTGAAGGTAGCGGTGGTGTATTCCTTAAAAGATACATTTACTTTCAGATTTAGACAATTATGTACACCTATACTAATTGTGTTCATGTGTATAAGAAGTTATAGAGATGACAAGCTTATTAAATTATGTAAACTGATTACTGTAGATTATTGCAATAGGCTTATAGGAGATTGTTCTGTCAATTGGTAGCTTCATTTTTGTATTCCTTGGCTATAATACAACAGCCACTGTGTCCACGAACTAAATTCTGAAGTTTTTCATGTTGAATTTTAATAAAAATGAAATGATCTCATTAGTTTAGTGGTTCGCTTACATAACTGATTGTCATAGAAGTTAAGGAGGTTATCGACACCTTTTAATTCGGAAGTGAAACTTCAGTATTAGTATTATTGTTTCCTTTAGTTCCTAGAGGAACATAGGGTTTCAGCCGCACGTTTCCATTGCGTTCGGTTCTCTGCCAACGTTTTCACCTGGCTCCACGTCTGCCCACATGCTTTCATCTCTTCTTCACATCACCTCCTCCATGTCACCCTCGCACTGACGACCAACTCACCGCCATGGGATCACCAATATCCCTAGTTGTAGCAGATATATTCATGGATAAATGGGAAAGCATAGCGATTAAAACGTTCACCCCCACCCCAAAAGTATAGTGGAGGTATGTAGATGACACATTCACTGTACTTAAAACAAAAGATATAGATAGGTTTTTCGAACACATCAACTCGAAGGTTGAAGCAATTCAATTCACTTATGAATTGGAAAGTCAGGAAGGGGAGCTCCCAATGTTATATTGCAACGTAAAGAGGAAAGAAGATGGGAAGTTAAACACTAGTGTTTACAGGAAACCCACACACTCAAACATATTTAGACTTTCAATAGTCCCATCCTACGTCAGTAAAAATAGGATTGGTGAAATGTTTAAATGACAGAGCACAAAAATTAAGTAGTACCAAAGAAAATCTAAAACAGGAACTGATACATATAAAAGAAGCCTTGAAACTTAATAATTACCCGGATAAATTAGTCAAGAAATATGTAAGGAAATGTAAAAATAAAATAAATAATGATAGTAGCGATAGTGATAATGACAATAATAATGATAATAATAATAGTGATAATAATAATATTAATGACGACACCAATAATAAGGAATCTAAATCATCAGTAGTAATTCCATACAAGGAAGGAACCTCGGAAGTCTTACGCAGAAATCTTAACAAGGCAGGGATAAAAGTGACTGGCATTCAAACCCACAAACTCAATTAGAAACAAGCTTTCTCAGTTAAAGGATCCTGTGGAGCCTTTAAAACAAAACAATTTAGTTTATTTAATACCCTGCCTACGATGATTGTCAGGTCAAATACATAGGTCAAACTAGTAGAACAGGGGCAGTCAGACTAGCTGAACATAAAAACTTAGCAGAATTTAGATTGGTTGGTCCAAATAAGATAAGAAATCTAGAGAATAGTTCAGCTATACCACTCACTACATGCAGCTACACACAAACATACAATAGGATGGATGGGATAAGATGACAGTTTTAAAATCTAATGTCATAGTGTATAGGGAGAGATTGATAACAGAAGCTTTGTTTATCGAATCAATTACAAATACACGTAATAGGAATGATTCATCACCTATCCGCGATATCTGGAAAATTCTACTACCCATACGACAAATAGGAGAGAACAAAGAAAACTATAAAACTCAATTTTCGAAGTCGTGTGATTACAATTGATATGATTATGAACAATAATAAATTGTGTTCGAAACCTCGTCATCCAGTAAATAATACTGTTTCACTGTGTGATATATCTAATAAACAAACTAATATGGAACAACTCGCCGCTTCCCGTTCGGGTTCCACTTGAGACAGAGTCTGTCGTGTGATGTCACTTGATAGTTTTCTCATTAGTATTAGTAATATTAAATTGACACATATATATAACTGTTATTCTACCCTCTTCAATAACATTAAGTTGTTTGAATTATCGAAATTTTCTCTTTTGAAAATTTTGGTGTTTGTCTAAAAAACGATAGGTGAATTGGTAATTACCTCATACACACATACCACGCCCTATCTAATCCACTTGAGTGAGATTACTGTAACTATAATGGTGAGAATGGCTTTCCTCCCAATATAACCTTATTATTAATTTTAAATTTTACTATCGTATATTCGTCAGTGAATAGTATATTGATTGAAATTTATCGATCGTGTGTATTCAGTGTAACCAGACTAAGCTTATACTTCGTCCAATGTGTCTAATACAGTCAAATATACACCACTAACTGATACTGAGTGACTGCTTTTAAAGTAGAGCTTTGCACATGTATGCAACAGTTCCAGTTATCACACTCCCTCCTTGTAGCACACAAAGCAAGAGAAGAGAGTAAATAGAGATAATAAACAGAAATATGAGGCAAAAAGAATAGTATTATGGATATTATAAATCACAAAGAGTGAATGCATCTGCGCCAGCCATTGAGAACGATGAGTCTGAGCCATATCACCAATTATCATCAGCCTTCATTGGTTTTTACCATCCCGAGGACAACAGCCAATCAGGAAGTCTACACCTCCCTACGTGGCTGGCTAGCTGGCTGGCTTAAATTAACTGATGTGTATTTCATTGACTGATGAAGCCATATTTTGGTTTGACCACCACTAGCAAGCTCTTTTCTAACCTGACCTATCGATCCTATGTCAGCTAACATTGCCCGTCGGTCGACGGAAGGCGATGGTTACATATACATATATAGAAAGTTTCATTTGTCGCGAGATCTTTCATTATATCATTATATAATGCTTAGGAGTGAATGCATCAAGGATCTTACAAAGCTTAGTCAGAATAAGACAGTGAAACTGGATATATAACACACCATATTCATGAAAAATAGTCTTGAAGGAAGTGTCTAGTTAACTGTAGGTCAAGTTAACAAAAGGTGTTCAGGTTGGGTTTAGGCATATAACAGGTCAGAGTTAGAGTTCACTTTGGAAATCAATTGTGTTTTTCTCTTAACGCAATGGCTCTCTCCAAGGTCATTGGTGCTTTCGCGCCTCTTATAATTTCTAAAGTTTAACATTGTCATGCTTAGTTTTT